CGAATCTTTCTCTCTCTTTAATTTTGAGTTGTGTCAGCAATAAGGAGGCTCTCGAATTGAGAAAATCCATACCTTGGAAATACCAAAATATTCAGGAAATATGAGAATCTAAAAAGGAGAATTCAAATTGATTCGCGCAGAATCCAACAATGCTGAAATTCTGATAAAATATGATAGTTCTTCTCGACAAGAGGCATTGAGTTGCGGAGAGAAAAGGCCATTTAAAGATAGCAGTAAATAAAAGGTCCAGGATAGGAAAGAACAGGAGGTAGTCTCTCTCGTCTCTTCGCCTCTGTCTAGCCATCTCTTTCTCTCTTTCTCCTTCTCTCGCACATTACGATCAGTTAGGCAGAGCCAGCGATACATATTATTCGTTCAACAATGAAGGCGTCCTTCTAATGAAGGAGAACGGCGATCGGGGATCTCGTAAATCCTCGGATTATTAATACCTATAGCATCTCCGTGCGTGAAATCCGGCAGGTGGCCGGTCGAACGTTCTAATCGCGATCCTGGAATAATTTACACCTATTTCCTCGGAAATCATGACGGGAGCATTAATGAGTGCCGTTTTCACGTGATTTCCAAACGCCCGATAGTCAAACGCAAGCCAGGTGACGCCTGCTTAAGCAATCGTGATATCCCGATTTCTCTTATGTAAATGTCGAGCGCGTAATCAATTTCAATGGCAAAAAGTAGCTGAGCCTAATTGTATTTCATTATTAAAATGATTCATTTGTATGTTGTATAGCCTTGTTTTAAATCTTCATAACGCAAATATTTTTCAGTTATAATGATCTTGTAACTGAAAAAACGTTTTATTAATAAATATTCTTTTTCATTTCTTTTTTATTTTAAAATTTAGATTTTTTATATATTATATATAATATGTATAAATATATTACATACATTAAAGCTCAATTTATATAAAAAATTAAATTTTAATATAAATGCAAAATTATAATTTATAGAATACTTGTCATATATGTATATATAAAAAGTAAACACAAATGCCAGAAATTCTCGCATAGACTAGCAAGTGAAGTGTAACGGGTTTAAATGGCTTTGTTACAATCAACGCAATTTGTCACGGCTCACGACTAGAGAAATCTATATAATGACGCGAATGAATCACTACGCATTTTACAAAATCGGAATGCGTACATAAGAAATGAAGACAATTGTATACCATTGGATTGCGCCAAAGAAACAAGAAAGATCTTAGTTCCTGTACTCACATTAAAAATTTCAAATTTGCCCTCGGTTATAAAAAGGAAAATTTAGCTGATGCATAAAATATTAATATACATACACAGATGTAGCCAGAATTTTCTTTAAAGATCAAATTACAGTTTGAATCCAAGCGGAGACAGTAATCGAGTAATATTGGATTATTGGATTTGTTTTGTTTTATATTATTATTTTTAATTAATTACTAGCAGGTAAAAAATCACAAAATCATTCATATTTAATTTTATAATTTACTTTTCTTTTCTCTTAAAATTGTAAATTGATTCTTCAAACTGGAAAAGCTTAAATTTGTAATACTGGAGAATCTTTGATTCTCAGAAAATCTTTCTATAACTTTTACTCCCAATTCTTTCTTTTTTTCTCTTGTGAATACTCATTAAGCATTAAGTCCATTTAAGCGGTTTTAATTATTTTTATTCTATAAGATTTAGGGATAGGGCACAAAATTTTTAAGCTAAAATAACATTCAAATAAATAGAAAGAATTAAACTCGTAACATTTATCAGCATATTTGTCAAGGAATATGAGAAATTTAGATCTTTTGTAAGAAATGTGAATAGTTTATAAGAAATATAATTCCTTTGTATAAGAAATGTAGATTCAATATTTTTTAGTTTCTTTGATTTAGTTTTACAGCTAACAGTAATGGAATGTTGGATCGCGTTTTTCCTTTGGATGTTCTGGGATATTACGATCATCATCGACGATCGGGAAGCGCCGCTTAGGGCTCCGCTATAGACCGAGGGGGGCATGTAATGCCGTTCGTGCTCGGCGACAATGGGCCGATGAACGAGGAAAAGGAGGCAGTCGCCGCGCCAGCCGCGAGGATTGGCCGGTAATAGAGTCCTCAGGCGAGGGCGATGGCAGAAAGCATCGGCCGTTTAAGCGCTGCTCCTCGCGGACGGCTAATAATATTAACCGCGCCACATCGCATTCGCACAATGGCCCTTTGTGGAGACGCCCGGTCGCTTGCGAGCGCGCGCTCGCGTAAATGCTCGTAACATAAATCGCGAACGGCGACGCGCATTATTGTCTTCGCGCGACGCATATTATCATGTACTACATCGTCCCTCCTTCCTTTCTTATTGTTAGTTTCTTTTTCATTTCATCGTTTTCGTGACGGCCGTCGATTTCTTTTCGCTAAAGTGGAAATGCCACTTTGAAGTAACGATCGCGCTCTCTCCTTGCACACAATCACGAGTTTACTTAAAGAAATGGATTACTTGATAAATATTTTCTCGCACATTTTTTTCTAAGAATCGAAGAAATTAATTCTTGGTATTTCAAATAATTATTATAATGCACTTACTGGCTACATAATATACCTGATTATAAATAAACGTGTGTATTTATAATGTATTCAATTACATTGGTCAAAAAATGTAATGATATATCCCATATAGTTTCAGCAAAAAGTGACTGGAATTGGATACTTTCCGTACATGCATACATACATATGTACACCTATATATGCCACACAACAAAAAATAGGAAACAGTTTCCTAAAACGCTGAAAATTGTATAATATTCTAATCATCGAAACTCGGTGAAAAATTATCACAAACAAATAAAAAAAAAACATTTTTGAATCGTCATCAATTATTCTCAGTTTATGGTAATTAATTAACGACATTAATTCTGTATCTTGTAATCTTTTCAATTTTTCGCAGAATTACAGAATTTAAAATTTAAGCGAGCGATACTGATTTTGTGAAATTTCATTGAAAATATTTGGAAAGTTCGTTCAGAAAGGCTTAGAAATTGGCGGTTGCGATATTTTTAGCAGCGCCGAATATAAATAGCGTTGCAACTGTAATATAACAACGGAAGCGATGTTACGCTATGTCTATGATTTATACGCGGCTCATTGTTCGCCACGCGACGCCGACAGCGGCCACATTGTCGTCCATCGTTATTATTCCACCGGTCTCCTTCCCCTCGCATCGACGTTAAACGAACAAAAGCTCACGACTTTCAGTGAGATCGTCCCGGACTCGTGGCGAACATAAATCGTGTTCGTGCGAATTTACATAAATATCCGTGCTGCAAACGCGATTTATTCTTCGGTAAACTTCGAATTGACTTTCGCCCAGTGAAAATTAGATGTGTCATATCTTGTCGTTTTAATTTCCAACTAACAATAAATTTCAGCGATCAGAGCAAAATTGTTGATAAAGCTTGATCTAATTTGATACTAATTATATCAATATTATAATTTATTACGTTAAATCAATTAAACTGAATTGATTGATTTGTCCTAAATTATTCTATTCGATTAAAAGATATGAAGAAATATGTCTTGTAAGAAAACTTATTTTTCAATAAGAAAAGTTCTTAATAATGATAAGCTCAAATTAATTTAGTTTTATACTTACGCTGTGCCTTGGCCGTCTTGTATTCTGTCACGTTGCTTTCTTCAAATAAAAAGGAAGGGGGATGGGAGGACGTGCGAAGGGATGCAATGAGTAAACGCCAACATGGTCGGGAGAATAAATTAATATATTTTTAATGGATATATGATAGGTACTGGTTTTTCGCATATCCCGGATCATCGTATGGCAACTCTTAATCACCCCTAACCATAAACCGAGCTCGCAGATCAATCTTGCTTATGGGGATGGGAGAACAAATCTTTGAACTGTGACGTACTCACGCTCGTTTAGGGGTTCTTCAAAGTTTATATACAACGTCAAACAAATTCCTATCGCAGAGGTCCTCAATAGTATTTTATTTTCATTTTACCTTCATTTACTTTAATCTCTTTATCAAACTAATCGATGTCGTTGGTATTTGTTTAATTACTGCGTTACTACAAACGAAACGTTGAAAAAAGTTATTCAATTTGACCAGTCTATCTCCCCTATAGGAATTTAAATCGCATTAATTAGAGTTGTAAATTATTAGAGAGTGACAGGTTGAGTTAATTAAATTAGGTTGTCTTGGCTCTTTTGTTCCAATATGGGTACTGATTGGCTGACCAAATTATATGATCAAAGTCCCATCCTAATAAACAAGAAATATTTTGGAACATTCCAGCAACATTACAACGATACTGCAATGTTGCTGCAATGTTCCAATTTGTTTCTTACTTACTGGAATATTGTTTTCTTACTATGATTATCAATTAAATCATATTCTTTAGACATCAGGTCATCCCTTCAATGTCGCCTCTCCGATTATCTAGAACTCTAAGCATTAACGAGTGCTTGCTCTGGTAATTTTTATCGAACCGATCGCAAGTGTATAAATTGAGAACCCCCGCCCTATTGCTTTAAATAATATCCGCGATCGACGAACACTGGGGTATCGACTACTGAAAAATTAAATAAAACGGACCTCCTTCCCACTATTTACATTAAATACACGCGTATATGCACAAACACACACACACAAACACACACAACACACCCATTTTCACTCTCTAGTTCCCTCTTTCTCTCTTTTTCTCTTTTATTCCCACACATGCGCACTCTTTTTTCGCTTTCTTTCTCTTTCTCGCTTTTTTGCCTTACATCAAAACGGACAAGCCGCCTAGCTGGCGAGCAAAGTCCGCGTTTATTGCACATTTTTCCATTTGTTCTTTGAAAGGAGACACAATGGACAAAATCAAACGCACTCGATCTACAACGGTCACGCATGCATTCGATATGTCGAACTGATATAAGTCTTGCCGGTCCGTATCGATAGTGCGAAATTTAGATTCTAGAATCCTTCTAGATCCAAAGAGAGAGAATTATATACGTAATTTATTGCGATCTACACGTATTTGTGATCGACTGTAACCTGTGAATTTTTCCATCACTTTAATACTCAATTTGTCTATACTTAAATTTTTTCTTCCTTCCTTCGATCACCTTCGACTTCAAATTCGTACGCATACTCTCAGAGATCTCAGGATATCAAAAATCTAGACGCGCATTCATCGATGGACGTGAGAATGTCTACAAGTACGCGAGGATTATTCATAAACCTAGCGATTTCAATCAAAGCGAACTCTGGCAGAAACGGGGATTACCGTAGCTGAGTTCTTCCACTCAATTTCATGACCAGGAGTACCAGTTCCGCTTTGCACGCTTCAATCTTCATCCGACATGGTCACTTCACCGTCACTGGTAATCTCGACGAGGAGTTACCCCATCTAGTCTCTTTGATCGCGTTCTTCTGCTCGTCAATTTTTAATCCGACGCACCTCGGCATCTTTCCACGCTCCTGTTCACTACGTCGTAGAGGGCGACGTGCAAGCCGATGAAACGGGAGACGTCGGTGACGTTGGCGTCGCCGGTCTGCGATCCGATGCCGCACTAGTCCGATTATTCCCCAACAGACTGTCGATGGAGAACGGATTCAGCCTCTTCCTCTCCTCCCTACCCTTTACCGAGAGATCAATGCTGCCGCTTTGGACTTCCTCCTCGCTAGCGACCTGCCTGATTAGATTCCTAGCGCCATTACCGGTCGGTGGACGACCAGCTCCGATTCCCACCAGCTCGCGTCGTCGCTCCAGCAAGCTTAAGCCCCAGTGGTGGATACCGGGTTGGTGGTTCAGGTGTTCCATCGGCGGATTCTGCGGGGGGTTCTTCCGGGGCTCGCTAATCTCGCTCGCGTTACTGTTGAGCGCCGGGAAACATTCGCCGTCCACGGAGCCGTCGGCCGCCGAGTCCACCCGCTCACTGTCGCTCTCGCTACAGGAGTCCAATCCACCGACCACGTCAATCTCTTCGTTAGCATCGTTACCGGATGCGGATATGTTACTCTCATTGCTCAGACCCAGTTGGCCGAACGAATTGCTCAGAGGACCGCTCGCAGAACTACGACCCGATGCCGCCTCGCTACGAGACTCCCACTCGGCACGCAATGTCGATAAATCCACTGTTATGCCCTGAAGTTAAGAAAATGAAGGAACCCGTATTACAAAACTACTATTTAATTAAATAACCTACGTAGATACAATCGGCATTTAGAAATAAAGCTATTATATTAAAATGTGGTTTGGTTAGTTTGTGCTAAATGCATGTACCTATATATATATACGACGGTATTATTCATATAGAAATGATAAATGTTACGTAGCAGAAAGTAAAGGTGCATTATAAAGGCGTTTCTAAGATGATCGCAATGTAATGCGTAATCACTTTTACTGTAAAATCACATACGTATTACATCATCTGCCGTCTTTTCATTGACTATATTCTTTCACTAAAAGACATATTTATAACATTTAATTATCTTTTAATCATCTTTTAAATGACTTTGTGCTTTCTGAAATACGAGCCAAAAGTGAATTTTTTCATTTTTTATGCGATTTTCTTGTAAAATCGACATACTCGGACTTTCTATTTATGCGTATTTTAATTCTGTAAAAAAATTTTCCAATCTTTAAAGCCAGTTCGAAAATTTTGATTGCACTGTAATTATCGTCGCTCCAGCATCCCTTTAAAAAGTATACAATTTCGGTATATTGATATATATATATAATCTTTAAGTATAATTATTTTTATAAGTAAAGTAAAAAATTTTTCTTTTCTAAAAAAAATTAATGTGTTTATAAGAAGGTATTAATACGGTAACATAAGTACTTTGAAATTTTTAAATTGAGGAAGGATGTTTAAGTTTGCGGCTTACTTTAGCAGCGAGCTTCCGCTGTTGTCTCTCGAGAGCTTTCAGCAACTTCTTCTGTCGCCTTTCACGCTCTTTCCGTCTTAATTCCTCGGGTGGGATAGGTTCGCCACTACAGCTTTGCGGATGAGCATTATGCGCCGGCCTACCGGGGCCCTTCTTCGTATGTTCCTTCTTCCGCCACTTTGCCCTTCGATTTTGAAACCACACCTGCAATGGCAATGGTCGACTAGAGTTAAAAAAATTTAAATAAATAAGGAAAAAATTTAAATAAATAAAGAAATTCAAATACGATCAAGACTAGATCTTGAGACCTAATAATATTTACATGTAAATATAAAAAATACACGTATCTTCCAGTTATTTAAACTGCGCACTGATTACTATCAGTTAAATTTGAAATTTGAAATGCAATCATAAATTGAAGCTGAAATAATAATTAAATTGATTATCAATTTAATTATTAGGATACTTAGTACCACAATAATAATAATAGTATTATAATGATACTAAGTACTCTAAAATACTGTAAATTTATGTGAAAAATATTATCCTAAGATTTAAACTTTCCGACTATCCATGAAAAAGAGATGTAATATATTCATATTTATAATGTGTCAATAACTGTTTATTAAAAATTAAGTAGTCTCTTTATGAGGAAAGTGGAATCGGGGGACGAGCTTTCTCTAATCTTGTCAACGTTGATCAGTTTTGACCACAATTCCACTCATTGTCTGTCTGCTTCTACTGAAAGAAGATTAAATCGGCCACAAGTTCGCGCCAATTGACGCCGATGAAAGCTAAGCGTTGTTCCCCGCAGGTCTTGAATTGTAACGGGCGTTCGCGGCGTCGCGTAAATTTGCGGATTCTCCCCCGGATCTTCCCTTCCATCGCCCTTCACGTTCCACGCGAAATTTCTCTGCGAGCTGCTTAAATCACAGCACCGCCTTCGCCAAGGCACTATCAGAAGCGACACGAAGGGCGGATGCATTAAGTTCCGAAATTACAGGAAGGCTCCTGTCTCAGAACGAAGGACCAACGACCCTCTCGGGTGTCCTGATTCATTGAGGACGACAACCCTTTGCTCGCGTGAACGCTCGTGGCATGAACGACGATTTAGGGCTAGCGTGAGCCACGACCGAAGGGTAGCTCTCTCTCTCTCTCTCTCTCTCTCTCTCTCTCTCTCTCTCTCTCTCTCTCTCTCTCTCTCTCTCTCTCGCGAGGCGGGAGAGAGGTGGCGAGGGGGTGGCTGTGAGGGGAAAGATGAAGACATTAGTTGTACCGCCCGGCCGGCGAGCGGCGCTGAACTCACGCGAGCCAAAGATCAATAGATCCCCTCGGCTCCCTGAAACACCTTTCTAGCATCACGTAGCTTTACGAAACTTTCTTCGACTCCGGAATACTTTACGAACCCCCGAACGAGCCCAAAGCGCTCGTTTGTCTTTACTCCCCGTCGCTATCCGCGAGTCCTCGTTATTCGCGATTAAACTTCAGGCGATCGTAATTAATTCGATTACTTCGACGGGTCTATTTAGAATCCATCGCACGCGCTTACGCTATTTAATTCTCTAGTTTTACGATTTTCAGCGCGAGCTCTGGCTGTGTTTAACCTCAGAAAAATAAGTAATACTTCGAAATTTGACCTACGTGTTGTCGATGTATTCGAGATGTTTTAAATTTAAATCATATTCTTCAAATTATTTTTATAAACATTTTGTAAATATTTATGTTTTGTTATTTACTTGTTTTGAGAAGATGTGTGATAAAGTGGGTCATACGTACCCATACTATTTGTGTCTGTTGTTTCGACAACAAAGCATTTACTAATGTTCGTAGGAATATTTGTTCTTCTTTTTTTTATCCAGGAACACTCATGAAATTTTAAAACATGCTTATAACTCACCCTATACATATACAAATGAAATAAAATTTAATTGTTATTATATAAATATATTTATTCTAAAAAATTAACATTTTTTTTAGTATCCCTAAAAATCAACGTAAAGGATCTTTGACGGTGCATACACTTAATCGACATAGCTCAGCCTCATGATTCTTACAGGGTTAAATTTCTGCTACAGCTAATAAAGTAATTTTCAGTCCGATAATATCTGGATGCCGTGGCATTTTATGTCGATAACTCCAACCTGGCAGCCCTAATTTTAATTACTTATTTCATTATTTAATATCATAATCTGCAGAAAAACGGTAATCCATGATACCATCGAATATCAAAGAAATCTTTTTATTAAACCATAACTTTATTTCAAATTAAAAGAGCAAGATCTAATAAGAAAGAATACTATAGATTTTATTTTAAAAACACAATCAAAAGCAAAAAACGGATTTCAAAAACAGATTCAATGTTGAAAATTCCAAAATTGTAGATGGAAATGGCATTCAATAAATTTCTCGCTGATAGAAAAGATCGTTCCTGAATTCGTCGAGGAATATCACTACCGTAGCTCCAAAACCTTAACCGCAAACCTCACGAAGCGTCCTGTCTGTTTCAGTTCAGAATCAGGCACAGCTGTAACACATTACATTAACGCGATATGTGAGAAATACGAGTCGGGCATTAGTGAAGCTATTCGTCAGGCATTATCGACGACCGATAACGGTTTAACAAGCTATTTCTATCTTATGAGAGACTAATCTCATGTTCCGTCGGACTAAATAACACAGTTTTTCTTCTCTTGTGCAGCGGCATGTGAGCATCGCCGAGGAGATGCAACTTACATTATAAGCACACAACTGGCTTGACATGCATAAAGCGTATCTTTATGGCAGCAAAAACTCGAAGAAGCGACGTCGTCGCCGATAACCATAATCGTTCATATGGAGTTTGTCGAGAAAGATAATGCATTCTAATGTAATTATGTTTCCGTCAATTAATAAACGATGTTTTCCGCGCCACGCCGATAAGAGCGCTGTCATTTGACCGATTAAATTGTTTTATACTGTAATTAACCCTTCGCCTTATAGACTTCTTGTTTTTATCTCAATGGGAAGCACTTAATCAGTCGGTACTTTACACAAAGTGAGTTAGAAAAATGCAAGAAGTAAATATGAGCCGAAGGAAACCAAATAATTGTATCACATTGTTTCAAATATTCTCTAATTAATTGCATTATCTCCCTCTATTAAAAAAATAACGATTTTGTAGACTAAGCTCCGCTACTAATCGCAAACAATAACGATCTATAAACAATAACTTGTAATATACATATAAAATCATAGAACAATCGCGTCACGGTTAGCGGATATGATGGGCGTATCCAGAACTTTCTTCGAGGGGAATTCTTATCAATTCTGTTATTACATAAACAGAAATCTTTACGTTAATGAAGTGTTTTTCCAATACTTTTTTCGAGCTTATAATGTCTTCTTCTCATTCCTGATCTTGAATAGAAAAAAAATTGCGTTAGAACAAAAGTTCGTTTATTTCATGTATACATGTCTTTAAAAAAATTTGGAAATTATACCATTCGATAGAACAAAGCTTTAAGACTCTATTTTTTAATTACGGTATGATTATTTTTAATGGAGTTATAAACAATAAAAGTCAAAGTGCTTCTTTTATTTAATCCGCAATAACTTACAATCAGTAACAAAAAATCTTACGAATATTAAAAAAAACGATTTTGTAGAAAAAACTTTAAGCTTTTATAGTAAAAAGTTCAAAATTTTCTCAAATTTTTTTTGGGCACTGGCAAACTTAAAATGAAAAGAGAATTTCCCATTTTATCCAGCTCATAATTTTCTATATGTAAAAATTATTATACTAAATTCATAGAACTTAAAAGATATAGTGATCTTTCAAAAGATAGATATTATCATTATTACATACAAAATATTTATGATAATTTTCCTATGAAAGGAAATTTTTAAAAATTCAGAAAAGATATAGAAAAATCTCTTGTATGAAAAATATTGCCAAGTATTATTATCCCTTTCGTTATTAGAGACAACTATGAATAGTCACTTAAACGCCGAACACTCGCTACATATTTAAGAGACTATAGTCATCGAGCGGAGTTCATTCTATACTAAGGGTAACTATAGTCATCCGTCAAAACTTTTATGTGAGGACATTTTTTATTATATATGGATATTATTACGTTTTATTGATTTAGGCGTATATCCCTATTTTGCAATACAGGATGTAACTAAAATAAGGTAACAAACTTCGGAATCGAGTTCTCAACACTAAAATATGAAAAAAAGTTCATATGAACATATCACCTCATAGCAGGATCTAGGCCACTTAATTTGACAATCGGCGTGAGCGATATTTTTTCTCATTTTTTTCTCATTTGGAGCTTGAGAAACAATTCTTACATTTGTTCATTGAAGATGACTCGGAATGAAGCTGAAACATTTGATACACTGCCTTATTGTTAAGAAGAATTCATATAATAAGCAAATTGCGCTCTAATTACCGCATTTAACTCTCAATTACCTAATTTATTCCTATTATTTTTTAATTCAGATAGTCTATTTTCACTAATATTATTTTTATATATTATATTATACATATATAATCGACCGTTTGCAAAATTCTCCTATGTGCTGTACAGTATGCAGATTCGCACTCCCATATAGAGGTAGCAAACTCACAATTGTTCTGTATAGAGGTATAGTAGTGATAAACTAAAGTTAAATAAAAAGAAAAGGAGGAATGATAAATAAGACAAAGAAGACCTTTACAGAAATCCAATTTAATACTGAAAATGACTTATTTTGAATATTATAAGTACTGAATAACAATGCCTTTCTCGGAGTAAATAATTAACCATTTCCTTTCAATATTAAATGTCTATAAGGAGAATCAAAAGTAAAGTTGTATTTTTTTATAATTAAAAATTAAAAAATGAATAAAAAATGTCGAGAAAGTTCGAATCCCTCAAACTCTCCCTCTGGATACACCTATGGCAGATGCGATTGGTTTAACATTTTACAAGCTCGCTATTTCACCAGCCGTGGATCCAGCCGCGAGAGCCCGTCGTGGCTCGTCGTCGGATGCAAATAGCGCCTTGATAATAGCGATTGTCGTGCTCACGAGCTCTTTCACGATAAATCAAAACGCATGGTGTACCCGATGTTATTTACGACCGGTCTGCGACTCGCGCATACGAATTTCGCGCGCGTAATAAACGCGAAACGGGAACCACGCCGCGATAACGCGAGATCGTTCGTAATACCCGCGTCGGGAAATATTGATCCCGGAGTGCTTCTCGGATCTCTCCTTCGATCATGGACGAGGGACCGGATCAGATTTTGCTGGAGCGGCAGGATGAGCGGAGACGATAACCCGGCCGAGCGGTGACACAATGTGACATGATGTCACACAGCCGGTGCGTCCTTTCGATGGTGCTTCCCTACGACAGGGAATAACTCTCAGATTAGATAACATCGATCACTGTGTACGATAACCCCCGTGAACGTATGTCCTACTGCAGTCGCATCTCCTCCAGAATATCGCAACAACTAGATAAACGCGATCGACAATCGATCAAGGTTTATCGATCCACACTTAAATCTATGAACACTCTCGCAAATCTCGCAAATATATATCATCGAGAAAACTATTAATAACAATAATAATCATTTTATTGAGTGTGCATTATACAACTTAACAAGACTTTACGCAGTTGGAAAATTTGTGTTAAGTTTAACACAAATATTTCACCTGTTCTAAATGATCTACTCAAATTTTTGTGTTAATTTAACACAAGATGAATATGTTAGCAAATAATACAAATATTATATGTAAAAAGAATTAACACAAAATATGTAACTAACACTGACACATAATTTGTAAGCAAATTGTTACAGTATATTCTTTCGTTAAATTGACATTCATGATACGTTAAGTAAATGCTGGAGCGACGGCCGAACTTAATCAATGTCGATAATACAGACTTTTTAACACTAAACTTAATTTTTTACATTATCATTCTGTCTCACTCAAATGCTTATATCTGTCCCTATCTAACATATTACAGAAGCCATCACTTCCAAAATCGAACACTTACTGAAGACACAATTACAGCTTTGTTTACCATTCTAAATCTTTGCTAATATACGTATTCACGTGAATTACGCGAATCAGCTAATAAATTGTTTTCTAAGGCTTTTAATCTTTATTTTACAAACTCAATATCGTATGTTCAAATAATTCGAGGTCCGCTGAGTACTCATACGAACTGTGAAACTTTTGTACCAGGTAAACTTTAACCTCATGCGCGGTCTATAATGGCAGTAGCAGTAGTGGATGAGACTGTCAGAGTAAGAAATTGACTAATCACAGTCGAATGTGAGAAGAATACTCGACTGTGATTGGTCAATTTCTTACTCTTACAGCCTCATTCACTACTGCTACTACCATTGTAAACCACGTATCAGGTGACAGGTGACATACGAGCCAAAAATAATCGATTTCTTTTTATGTTCATTCTCGATCGCATATTGATGTTCATTCAGTCTAAGAACTATAATACATAAGTTTTTCTATTATTGATTGTATAATACATAAGTTTGTCTTTTCCCACTCCAAGTTCTGAACTGGTTTACACTGGTGCAATAAGTTAAAGTGAGATAAATATAGTTTGTTTCATTATACCTGTCTCATTTTAACTCATTGCACTAGTTCAAAACTAGTTCAGAATTATAGTAAACCAGAGCTGGAATTTAGTTGCACATTTCGGCCGATTTTCAGCTTAGTTCCTGCCCCTCACTTCACCAATCCGCGCGGGCAGGAACCAAGCTGAAAATTGGCCGAAATGTGCAACTAAATCCCAGCTCTGTAGTAAACGGTCGCATCATCCAAACACTGATATAGAAGAGACATTAATTATTATATTTGAAAAATTTATTCCAATTTAAGTATGAGTGTTTAAATGATTTCTTTCTCAGTATGATATCGCTAATGATGGCTGAAAATTAGGCGAAACGCCCAATCGATTTTTGCGTCACACATGTAATAATAAATTTGAAATGCTTCATATTTTTAATCATAGCACACTGATTACCGTGTAGTTATTTACTCTCACTTTTCCAGTTAATTATAATTCATTGTTTGAATTCTAAGAGTCCATTAATTAGTAGATTTTATTGGCAATACAAATACTACAAAACCTAATCAGAAAAATGAAAACTAAATAAGAAGACATGATAAAAGAATGAAAAAATCTAATATTTATGAATAATGAGATAAAATATATAGAGAGAAGCAGTAGAACGAAAAAAAGAAAATTATGAAGAAGAACTTTTACGTTCTTACGTATACTGTTTACCACTTTTTGCTGCGACGTACACATTAAAACATTAATCTCAACTCCTGAACCGTACGTTTCGAATTTGGCCCAATTCACGACATATTCACGCAGATTTATTCAGTGTACGGCGGCTATCAAAGATCGACGAGGCGATAGACACGAATTTAAAATGACTTCAGGATCAGATTTTCGAGGGTCGACAGACAACTGGGGATTGGTTCTGGCTTCGGACCTTTGGCCTACCAGCTCCGTCTCGAGGGGGTAGTTAGTCCATCTGGTCCGTTACCTTCGGAGATCTACTCGAGGGTACAAAATCGACGCGGATTTATCTGTTCAGCGATTATCCATTTAAATAACATCAGCGTCGATAGGATGTCGTTGTTTCTCAATAATATTTTCGTAAAAATAAACTTGCCAATCTTCCTTCTTTTTATTTTTCCAATTATTTATACATAACAAATGTTTAAGGTTTGTGTTTTCAAGAACTTAAGCCCATTTCAAAAGGTTAATTCCTGTCGTAAGAGATAAAACTCTTTTTATAAACTTTTTTGCCGTATAACACAGAAGAATCAGAATATACACAAATTAATTAATATACATACCGTACGCTTACTTCAAAAGTGACACAACTAAAAAGAAATAAATTTTCCAAAAAAAGGAAAAAAACTATTTTTCAATTTGACTTATTGACTAATCAAATAATATCGGCAAAAAATGTATTCTTAACATGATCAAATGTCATTTTTTGTCATTTTCATCTCACAATATTTAAAAGACCATTTTTTTAATTGCGATAATTTTAATAATTTTTAAACCAGCCTTTTTGAATTATGACGATCTTTTTAAAATACCGTTTTTAATGATTTCGACGATTTTTTTATAACATTAAGTTAACACACTTTTGATGATTGATAATATTTATCTAACTCATTCATGATAATAACACAAAACTCACGTTTCTTGAGTTGTTATTTTTGAAGTTAGAGAGCGATATGTAAAAAGTACGCAATATATGAAATAAACAGAATTCTACCCAGAAATATAACGCGATATATATCATCTAAAATGGCCTTTATAGTATTTAACTTAAAAAAAGCATATTTTGATTATAAATAATATAAATGTACAATACTAACAAATTAACAAATTCAAAACGCACGATTAATTTTTCACGGAAATAAAATCTATAACATAGGACATCGAGCGTAGAAGTGGATAACGTAAAATAAGATCTTATCACAGATCTTTTATAAGTCTATAATCGCGATGTGTAGACACATGTCCGAGCACATGTCATTAAGGCCCCGCAAAATAGCATTAAATCTTTTCGATGCGGCCGGCCTTTTTCCGGTATTCGGACAGTTCACGCCTGCGTTCGTCGAATACAGTCCAGCCGAATCCTTCGACAGGACCGCGAAGGGTGAACTCCCAATTTCACGGCCGGTCGGACATACGGTTACCCTTAGGTCTTTCAAGCGAATATTTATATTTATTCGCTTAGACACGCGTGTTAGGCCCCGCAAATAGCGCAATACATCCGTTCCCTTCTTCAACAGCGATGCATCTCTTCATTTTACTTATCTCCTTAACCTCATCCGTTCTCATCTTCTTTTTGCATCATATTCGAATTACATTCCGCGAATAATTCGATATTATTTTGAAATTTTATTTCTCATCCACATATACATAAATATAATATATTAAGCACTTTTATAACTAAACTGAAAATCTTGTTAAAGTTTAATCTACTTAAGTTGATTACGTTCACACTCCATTTCGAAGTAAATCGATTGAATTGAATAAAATTAATCGCGTCGATCTAGAATGTTGAAACGTAGTGGTTAATCTATCGAAATGTCTAAGATTTTCTAATTAACTTATATCTATATACTTTTCATTTATTTATAAATCAAAGGCTCCCTAATGCCAGCTTCCTTATTTTGATTTCCTTTATATACGATTGAAGAAATGGCGATGTGTATAACGAAATAAATAAAAGACTGAAAAAAGAAACTTACTGCCACGCGGCTCTCTTTTAGTTCGAGTCTCACAGCCAGTGCTTCTCGCATAAAGACATCAGGATAATGACTCGACAGGAAGGCCCGCTCCAATTCTTCCAACTGCCAACTGTTGAAGTTAGTCCTGCTTCTTCGCCTCTTGTTGCCGCCTTCATCCGATTCTCCGTCACAACCTGAAAAGAAGAATATGTATTCAGAAAGAGATAAACCAACCTAAAAAACATAAAATTCCTATGTAAATACAAATATTTACACAATAGGTAAAACAATTATGTTATTATGTAATTATGTTACTTGATATAAAAATAAAAATATAGTTTTTAAATCAAACATAATAATTATATACCCCTATAAACGGATAGATTATACATAATTATACAAAACTATATATGAAATATGTCCATATATAATTATATACGATTATATATAATTATATATATAATCGTATATAATTATATATGGACATATTTCATATACATATTTCATAGTGGTATGAAAATTGAAAACAATAATTAATCCAGTTTTATTGCTAAAATATTATTGGTTAGCATTTTAAAATACACACATTAAAATGTGATTAAATACATTTAGGAGCTCAAAAAGCACACTCCGAAAATGTATGGGAGTCTCTAAAAGACTTGTCAACTCGATTTGCTTTCTTATAGAATTCCTGGGCGTTTTCTTTTTACGAAAAGCCTATCTCGTGGCAGGGCTGTGTACGAACCTCTTATATATAATTATATACAGGTTACGAACGCGCGAATATCTTACATATAATGTACATATATATACATATATACCCACGAGGTGTCCCGCGAGACTTCTTCCACCACTCTACCTTCCTGACTTCTAACAAGACAGTTAAAAGTAAAAAAATCTTAGAGATGACTAAAATATGTCCAAAATTAATCATCTTTTAGTTATTATATGGACAATGCTTGAAGATTACCAACAGTAAAATCTATCGTCATTTTTTTGCTACTATATTTTTTCACTAAAACATTTATCTTTTATAAAAAATCTATATAAAAATATAAAAATTATTTTTATAAAGATATAATCATTTTTTTAGATGACTCGATGCTGTCTTTGGAATGTTAGATATATCCAGCTTCATAAATCAACATCGAAGTTTTCGGATTTCAAGCATTCAAATCACTCTCCAAGGTATCTCGAGGAGTCTCGAAGTTTGATACTGCGAAACTCCTGAAGAACGAAAATGTAATGACTCGAGAAAGAGGTTGAACGAACAGAGGTCCCCGGGATTCGATGCCTCGGAGATTAGGGGCCATCTAAAGGTCCGTGGCTGCGCGTCTAGGAACAGCACCGAAGAGCACAGAAGAGCACAGGAGAGTAAACGATAACGGCGACATAGGCTGAACACCCGCAATTACTTAATCGGCGCGCGCTATTGTTGCTGCGCGGCGGGATCGTGTAAGTGCATGTCTCGCAGCGAAAACAAATGCAGTAGTTACGCTAACCGCCGAGCAATAATGCGGCCCGTAGTTGTAACGGCCGACGCGCGCGTTCCGATAATGAAGTTAACCATGTAGTAAAGTGTGCACTCCTCTTCAATCTTCTCCTCCGATCGAGCAGCTGCACCGGCGCGGCGCGGCGTGGCGCGGCGCAGCGCGGCGCGGTCGCGGCACTCGCTTTCGTGCTCGCCACTTTGCCGATGTAAATCGATGAATTCGCGCGCACGCACACTTGCCAAGCCGTACCGGTCCTTTTGTTCGTGGTGGTGTCAAGCCGAGCGTGACGCGAGTAACGGCGAGAGATTATAGCGGCAATCATCATTGTTAGACATAATCTAACAACGTAACAATTCTTAACGCGAGTTTGTACCTACGTAATTCCAGAGTCGCTCTCGGTGAGCACACATCGCCGGGGTAGATTTTACAGATAAAAAGAAGGAACTTTTGAGAGGGTCGATTTTGCGGATTTAATACTCGACTCGAGAGTCTAATCTCTCAAATCATGTTAATAATCGCTATAAAAATCTGCAAATCTCACTCGACACTCTTAAGACTACCGAGTGTCGCACGAACTGTCGATTTGATAGCCTTAAACTCAATTTATTTTATTTCACGTAAGAACAGAAAGGCTTTGTTATCGCTTGTTATTGTTAATTATTGTAAGAAAGCTATGATCATGCGAGTAATAATTTACCTTTTTCTCAAAGGTTGGAGTTTGGCGAACGATCAGCAGATCGCTGCATCCGGGCAGCCAGCAGAACGTTATAATTTGCGGCAGCCTATCTCGCGCGTGATCGATATCGATATCGAATTAAGTACTGTATACTTTCGACGGGAATTATTATGTTCGTGCGACACGAAAATGGTGGACGACGTCGATGGCGGACGATCGCGAATTTATCTTAATTTCGCGCCATTTGTAATCGCGGCGCAAGGTAAACATCTCGCCGGGCGTCGAGTGAATCGAGTTCTTACAAAGTGGCCTTAAACACGTAAGCTAATACGGAAAAAAGGAAACAAGTTACACAAACATACAAATATGTATATGCAAAGTTGAAAAGAAATTAATTAAGAAGATCAAATATAATTAAAGTTAACATTATAAAATGATAAAAAGAATCAATATATATAATATAAAATATGAGAAAAAACTGCATGTAACGAAAAGCAGTAAAATGTTAATTGAAAAAGATTGTGTTTAACTTATCATCTAACCAGAGAAGAACGATTCGACGATACCACCGATATTGCGCAAAATCCCCTTGGTATTGATTAAAATGGCGTTCCAGGCGAGACGTCCAAGGAGCAATAACCACGCGTGATTCGCAGCGGAGACTCGTACCAAAAATCGCTTTCTCATCTTATCCGGGCACGCGCGAGATAAGCAACACGCTGGCATACTCCGAGGCATCTCGGCGTCCCGGCGTATTGAATAAACATGGAATTCCAGTGATTTTACGAGGACAATCCGCTATCCCCCGATGGCGATATCTCCGATGAGAATCGGCGGTTCCATGCCGCGTGTATGCATGCTAATGCTCGGAATTGAATAAAAGATCGGGAATTATGATTGACTAGACGATGCCAGCAATCCTCCTCCTTCCACCCTCTTCCACTCCCGGGTTATCTTAATCTCATGCGGAGTAAAACGGAGATGGAAATAAATGCACAAATGCAGTACGAAAGATTTCGCTTCGTGGGGGAATCTTCAACTCCGTGATTGCAGAATTTCGATATTGACTATGTTCGCGATATAAAAGATTTCATATTTGTACAATTTCATATTTTACTCCATATCTAAACGTTTCATATGGTTTCTAAATAGATATAAAATCAAACGGGATATTTATGGTCAAGCAAAAAAATACATTTTTATAGTGTAAAATTTTACTCCAAGCTTCCCAAATAATGATCGTTATTAACTCAAAAAGAATTTCTTTCCAGTAATTCAAAAAGGATATCATAGAAGTATATCTTTCGACTTCCTATAGAATTAAATCGAAGTTGTTCTGAAAAGAGTCTTTTTTCCGTTCGTAATAGGTTCGAAAAGAATTGCATATTCACAAGTAGTATGCGGCAGGCCGCCAAATGGACGCAGTGATGTTTTATTCCTCGTAAATACAAAACCAGGATAGAAAAAAAGGTACGACAACTTCTCGATTGTATTTTAATAAAATGAAATCAAAATATCTAATAGATATTTCGATTTCATTCTAATTTTTATAGATTATAAAAGGATTTTCTTTTGTGAGTAAGAGCTCAGAATTGGTGTGTGTCTATGTTGTGACATAAAAGTAAAACGTTCTGGAACTCTTACGAATGTTTTCAGAATAGAAATGAAGTGGAAAATGAATACATTCCATAATTTGGGGATTCAAAAAAAGCAGTTCAGTGCAGGAATAAAAAAACCTAATACTGCAAACAATCTTGACATTTTAGCAACCAGTTTGATTGTCCAATATAATTATTTAGATACTCCAACATAATTCATAGATCTGTGTTTAGCTAAATTTTTATATATTTTAACAAAACCGTTTATCACGTATAGAAATTAAATCGTTATTATTTATTGTGAATTCCAAAACGACATTTTTACGCGATAAAGACACGCGAATATTGCGGACTAAAGTAAAAGGCCGACTGAAGGGTTAAAAGTGTCAACATATAAAATGCAGGATCAAGAGATAAAAGTCATTGACGTCGCGTTTTATTTCGATCAACGTTTATTTCGAAGAGCTTATCAATTAAGATTTACCGATGGCAGATGGGCGCTGTTTGCGAATCGGTTCGAGATTGTCGTTGAAGTGGCCGAGGCCGATGAAAAATCGCGGGGGTTGGGCATTAATCAGCGTAATTAGATGCTATTTATTCGCGGGCCGTCTCGTCCTCTCCGCATCTCGCTCATTATTGATAATCTATAATCCATAATAAGCGCTCTGGCGCAATGGCAGGTTGAGGGATCGTCACAAACGATAATACCTTTATCGTGTCAATACCGGGCCAATCGCCGCGCTCACTTGCGCCAAATTTCATAATGGAATGAAGCGGCAGTAATTAATAATCCCAATTAAATGCGATTTGAAGTACACGCACAATTTCGACGTTACGAGACAAGAGGCAAATTACAGAGCAACGAAACGTATTTCGATGTGTGTTTTTTAAAGCTTGATTCATTTCTGTTTACAAAACCGGATGACAGCAGATTTATGTATAATTTCGGACGTTTCTCATTGCGTCAAGTTGTATAATTATGCAAAAGAGGAAAGATGTAATTATGTAAAAATTCACTCCTGATCATGAGGAGAAGATCCATCGCCGAGCTGAAGCGCGTCTCGCTCATATCATGAAATTAGTCGACTCATTATCATCGTGTCAGGTTCATTATGCGCAGAGTGCGTTACGCCGAGAGACAGCCGCTTCCCTCGTTAAGCAGGAAATGCACAATTCTGCTGCGAGGCGAACGCAACGAAAATAGATTAAGACGACGCGATCCGCCGATCAAACCGGACGTGAAAATTGTTTAACTCGTTCCCTCATAAATTATTTAGCTCGCCGCCGCCCGCTATCATCTATCAACTTTGATAACCGCGCCCGATAATAACTCTCGTGCCTGACCGGTCGAGACTACAGACGGCCTCGAGTGCAACCGCGTAAATACATTTCGATTTCGACCGAATCGTGCGAACGTCAAAAAGGAAAGAAAACGTGTGCGCGAGTTATATCCACGTGATTTCGTCGAGGTCAATCCGCAACGTTCGTCGCACGATAAAAAAATCAAGCTACGCAAATTAATTCTATCGGAGGTTATCGTCTAACTTATGATTACGCTATCTAACATTTCGTGGCTATAGCAATGGGAGACTAGACAAAATTACCCGTGTGTTGAATTCGAAAGATGATCTTATAAAAGTTGATCTTACAAAAGTTGCATGTACATATCATATACATATGGACCTTCATAACTCTTCTTCTGAGGATTTACATACCAACTTCTGAAGAAATTATATTTGTATCACTTGTATTATTGTATTTAAACTACTCTAAATTTTAGAAACGACTTTTCAATAAAAAGAAGTTTGATAGAGATTATCACTTATTTTAATATCTTATGTTATTGTTTAATATCTTCGTATACAATATATTAATATTATAAAAGTATGTAACTTAACTTAAATCTTAAAATCACTTAAAATCGTAAATCTTGTTCTTTGTGTAAACTCTTCTTTTTAATAGAAATTTTTTTTTTTTACTTCCTCATAAGAATGCAAAAAAATCTGAAATGTCTTTTTATCGAATGCATATTTAATCACGATAAAAAGATTTCATGTTATTGCAGTGTTTTTCTGTATTTCGTAGTAATGTCAATCGTATTTGGGATTTAGGTCAAATATCGAAACCTCGAGAGTGTTCTTTTTCTCTGTTCTCTTAAGATTTTTTTCAATCTGGATTTTATTACAGTTTATATTATTCTTTTTTTTTATACAGCTTCTTATGTTATGTTAACATAGTTCTTATAATCTATGATTCATTTTGATCCGCGTTCTTATTGTTACGCTAAATTAGCTTGCCTCTCTCTCTCTCTCTCTCTCTCTCTACATATTTCATGTAAAAACGAAGTAATAAAAAGCTATTAATAAAAAAGTTACATAAAGTTCAATAACTGCATTCAGTAAAAACAATATTTTCCAGCAATTGATTTCTTGAGAAATCTTGTAGCATATTATTAAAATGAATCAAACTCAATTTAATCGTTATTATTTAAAGAATTCCGTTATATAATTAAAACACTTTACTCCACAGTGCAAATTTAATTTTTTTTAAACTTTAAATATTAATCTTTCAAACTGTTAAACAAATAATTTACATCAGATCTGTACAACAGTTAAAATCTTTGAAACACGTTCATATATTTTAGAATTTCAAATCGGTATAAAAATCACATGTACTTTATTAAAATAATTCATTTAATAAAGTAATGATTTCATAAAGTAATGATAACATATAGCCTAATATATTTAATGCTCTTCGCGTATTAAGTTAGTCTTATATTATTAAATGCAATAAATACGTTAACGACGTGACGTCATTTTAATAAATGACGCACTACTTCTGACCGCCAATTTAATAAATGACATATACTTCCTCAAACATGATTCTTGTTAGCGATTCCAATGATAGTGATCCAATTAGCGGCCGTTTTCTCGGGCGTTCCACTCTGTTTACGCCGCGGTCTATCCATTCTTTTACTTTCAATGTCGCGATTCTGCTGCTTTTTAAAATACGCCTTTAATACTCGGAAATGATTGAATAGCTAATAAGCTGTTTAACGATTTACAACACCGGCGATTTATGTCGTGTATAATTAAGCTGATTCAAATTGAAAGCGTACTATAGAAGCATCCTCCGAGCACTAATTATCGATTCATCGATCAAACTAATATTATACCTGCATCTAATATGTAAACAAATATTTCCTAGGCTTGTATTTGTTAATTTATATTATTATATTTATATTGTACTATTAATTTATACTATAATATTATATTTGTATTATATTATTAATATTTGTTTAATATAATTTATGAATCAGTGGATTATCTCACACAAAATTGATTATTATAAAATACTCGAACGTTCTCAACACAAATTACCAAATTCTTAAAATTGTTTTACTTTAAGAATTATTAAGATGCAATCAACATGTAAATTTTCTGCGTCAACTGAAATTTTTTACTAATGGTTTAAAATAGAGAAAAGCTATTCGCTCATTTCCAGTCACATCAGTTCTGGATGAGTAAATTATTTATGTGCGAATATTGTTAATTATTTTAGTTACTTCATTCTTCTTGACTTTATCACTGGAAATAATTTTGACCTTTAATTATTTAAATTTATAGTTTTTTCGATAAGTACCCACCTATAATAAACGGGAAAATACTAACAAGACTTAATAAACGCTCCGTGTGAATGTGGATTAACAAGACTGAAACATTTTCTCTCTCGAGGTGCGGCCAGCACGATCAATGACGAAGAGCATCATCATCCGGCATGGTCGGCGAAGATCGCGCGAAATTCTGGACCGTCGGGGCCGCAATCAATTTGCTGGCGAACGAGGCGTTTTTATAGATGATTTCGCGTCGGTGTGCGCGATCGCTCGCGGCTGTGTGCGTTTAATACGCGTTGACGTGGCACGTTTTTAGCGCGGTGTAATCGCATGATGATACGTTACTGGTCTCTAACGACGCACGCGACCCTTCGTGGCAACTCTCCTTTATGCGGACGTCTTACTTGCCGGGAAAACGAGCGAGGGAAATGCACGAGAGACGAAAGAACGAAAGAGAGAACAAGAAAAAAGAGAGGGA